CTCCCCGCCAAAAACAACCAAACAAATAACCGAAATCAAGGGTTAACACCAGCAAGAAATTTGAGCACGAGAGATCAAGAAAAGAGGATACAGATAAATTCTGAGGTGCTGGCTTCTGCAATGCATGCCTTGAAGCATGCTAACACACACACACACACACACACCTCACTCCGCGACCTTGGCCTTCAGCGCGCCACTTGAACAATCTGAGGTTTGCCGTCATGGATCATCACACTTCATCGGGAGGGAGCCGAGGCAGGCCTGAGCCGTTCCTGCTGAGCAGATGTCACCCTCTATTAACTTTTACAACTGGCCGAGGAGGTTGAAGATGCTCAGGGAGTTTTAGAGGGTCCAGAGACAGACTTCTGGGTTTTCATGTGGAAGAATTGGTTACTATGACAACCAGAACTCATCTCAGAGCTATTCATTCCCCCACTCTCTCTGTGTCTGTCTGTCTGTTCAACCATGCATACGGAGTAAGGAATGTGCAATTGCCGGATGTGAGTCTCATCTTCCAAACCAGTGGTTTTTTTGTGGGGTACCCCGATGGAACCCATCCTTTAGTCCTTGGTGACTAAAATCTCTAAAGAAGCAGAGACCATGGTCTTCAGAAGGGGGGGGGTGCTCTGGTTCCACTTCTGTTGCTGTGATAAAATACCACAATTTAAAGAGCTGCTGGGCAGAGGAGGGGCTCGTTAGGCTGACTATCCCGAACTCACTATTTGAATTTACCATTCCGAATTGTTATAGCCCACTCTTGTGGGAAAGCCTCCGCAGCAGGAACCGAAGCAGCTGGTCGCATCCCAGTCCCGGTCAACAGCAGAGAGAAACGAATGCACACACGCTCACTGCTCAGCTCTCTCTCTCTCTCTCTCTCTCTCTCTCTCTCTCTCTCTCTCTCTCTCTCTCTCTCTCTCTCTCTCTCTCTCTCTCTCTCTCTCTCTCTCTCTCTCTGCTTCCCCAGGCCAAGCCCCAAACACAGCAATGTCAACCACAGCAGGATGGGTCTCCCCACCTCAACCACAGGCCAACCTGAGCGATCTGTCACTGAGACGCTCTTCTCCAGTGATCCTAGGCTGTGGCAAGTTGACAAAGCCGACCATCACAGAGAGCAGAACGTTATGTTCCCTGAGCCGTGAATTATGGAAGAGAAGTAGCTCCTCGGACTGGACTCTGGCTAAGCATACACCAAATTCTTCATTGTGGATGCATTTGAGGTTGTCTTCTGGCTGACACTAACCACACCTCAGTGAGTTGTGTTACCGACATGTAAAGCCAGGGGACTCTGGTAGCGAACTTGCCTTTACTATTTTTTGCTGGAAAAAAAAAAGGGACTTCTGTTCAAAAGTGATGCTTTTTGGATCCCATGACATTAGATATTTTGTTATTGTTGTTGGTGCTGACTATTTTTCGAGACAGGGTTTCTCTGTGTTAACAATCTTAACTGTTCTGGAACTCCCTTTGTAGACCAGTCTGGCCTCGAACTCACAGAGATCTGCCTGCCTCTGCCTTCCGAGTACTGGAATTACACTGCCTGGCCAACACTAGATATTTGTTAATCCCTCCTGAGATCACCAAGAGAAGTATGGCAGGCGGAGTTAGAATAAATGTCTACTCCCATGGGGACATATCTGGGTAACATCCATAATTAACCGCTTCCAGTGTGACCAGCTGGCCACCAGAGGGCAGACTGGCCCTCTCAGGACCTGGTACCATGCTAAAGGTTGAGTCACTGGTCTGGGCCTTTGGGCACTAGACTGTGGTGAGCAGAGACTACTAACTGCTAGGCGCCTCAGTAAGAACACCCTCACTTTATTCAGGTCACCCACATACTCAGCCTGAAGACAACTGTCTCTGGCTTCTTTGCTATTAGATAAAAGCTCATCCGATTTGGGCAATGAAACATAAATGATGGTACATCCTTCTTACCGCTCCCCCCACATTTCTTCCCTTCCTACTCCTCGGAATGAGCCTGTGAAAACTGGCCCTTCAGTGGCCATCTTGGAGCTTGAGATGAATGAGGGGACAGTGTGCCACGGGGCACAGGTGGAGGTCAGAGGACAACTGCGGAAGTCCATTCTCCCTCTACCATATGCGCTCTAGGGCTCGAACTCAGAGCATCAAACTTAGAAGTGAGTGCCTTTACCCACTGAGCCAGCTTATCAACTATGAGATAAATTTGGAGATGGAAGGCACAAGCTTAGAATTTAGAAACTGAATCCCCGAAGACAATGTAGGTACCAGACTTTAAGATAAATAAAATTATATTTGATATAAACCAAGCTGGGCATGGTTGGTGGTGCACACTTTCAATCCTTGTACCCCAGAGGCAGAGGATTGCTGCAGGTTGACGTGATGATGATATTCGAACCACTATTTGGAGTTTTCTGTAACCTAAGTTGTCTTAGGGTTTCTATTTCTGCGAAGAGACACCATGATCACAGAGAGCTGGGGTGGCTTACAGTTCAGAGGTTCAGTCCATTATCATCACGGTGGGACAGGCAGACATGGTTCTGGGAAAGGACCTAAGAGTTCTACATCTGGATCTATAGGCAGCAGACTCCCAGGAGTCTGTGTCCACACTGGGTGCAGCTTGAGCATAGGAGACCACAAAGCCCACCTTCAACCGTGACACACTTCTTTCAACAAGGCCATACCTCCTAATAGTGCTTCTCCCTATGAGCTTCTGGGGAACAATTACATTCAAACCACCACATAAGTCAACCTAATACTAGCATGTGGATAAATCATATGTCATAGGAGAAATCCAAATGTAGCGATTAACTAGACAAGAGAGCCATCTGTTGCAACATCTGTCACCCCATTGGTCACCAGGGTAGATTCAACTCATCTGGCTCGCTAGGCAGCCGTCTCCTTTCTCCCCTGTATCTCCATGTTTGTCCCTCTCAACTCTGTGTGCTTGCTTGAAAAGAATGACTCTGATGGAGAAGGGCTACTCTCTACTCCACGGTTTACATTTACAGTATCTACTCCAGGGTTTATGGTATCCATTCCAGAGTTTACAGTATCCACTCCAAGATTTACAGTATCTATTCTAGAGTTTACAGTATCCACTCCAGGGTTTATGGTATCCATTCCAGAGTTTACAATATCCACTCCAAGGTTTACAGTATCCACTCCTGAGATTACAGTATCCACTCTAGGATTTACAGCTTTCACTCTAGGGTTTACCACAGCTCCACTCCAAAGTTTACAGCATCCACTCCAGGGTTTACTGTAGCTCTCTCTACTCCAGGGTTTACTATAGGTCCACTTCTTTTGGTTGTGGGAACCTCAAGACAGGCTCACAAATTACAGCAGCAGTGCCAATAAATGTAAACAGAATAAGGCTGCAAGGCATTGGCCTGGAATCCCAGCTACTCAGGAGGCTGAGGCAGGAGGACTGTAAGTTTAAGGTCAGCCTGGTCTGCAGAGTGAGACGAGACCCCAGCTCACACAATGAGACCAAATAGCTCAATGGTAGAACATTTGTCTAGCATATACAAGTCCCTTAGTTCAATGCCCCAGGCTGAAAACAAAATGGTAAAAGCATTAAGGGATTGCATGTCTAATCAAAAGACAATTTCAGGGTTTCTTTTAATTTTTTTATTTCCTATGTATGAGCATTTGCCTGCACATATCTGTGTACCTGTGCATGGCTGCTGCCCATACAAACCAGACGAAGGTGTTCGATCATCTGGAATTGGAGTTAGAGATGGTTGTAAGGTACCATGTGGGTCACTTACTGTGTAACCGCAGGCTGGTCTGAACTTGCTCTGTAGACCAGGCTGGCCTTGTATATGAGATCCACCCACCTCTGCCTCCTCGGTGCTAGGATTAAAGGTGTGCGCCACCACGATGCCCAGTTTCCAGTGGTGGAACACTCACTCAGTTTCTTCCTTCATGCCACTCTGATGCCTGCAAAGTCAGGCCACATAGTCCTCTCTCATTTCTGTGGAACTGACTAAGGAAATTGACCAAGCGCTCCCTGGGCAAGAGCATTACTCTGTTTCCTGATGTTTCTTACTGCTTCCCATGAGTCACCGTGTTAACTGTTAAAAAGGCCTGGTGATTTTTTTTCGTTTCAGTTTTTCAGCCTTCAGTTGTATTTCTTTACAAGGTTCTTTATTAAAGATAGCTTTTTTTTTTTTTTTCATTTTTCGAGACAGAGTTTCTCCATAGCTTTGGAGCCTGTCCTGGAACTAGCTCTTGTAGACCAAGCTGGCCTCGAACTCACAGAGATCCACCTGCCTCTGCTTCCTGAGTGCTGAGATTAACGGCATGTGCCACCTCTGCTCAGCGACAGCTTGATTTTTATGTGGCCAAGTTTGAAGGCTTAAAGGCTTTGAAAAACTTTTTTTGTTGTTTGAGACAGTGCTTCTAAGGCCCAGGCCAGTCTCAAACTCCCAACAATCCTCCTGCCTTAGCTTCCCAAACTCTGGGACCACAGGCATGAGTTGTCAACTGGCTTCCTCCGTGGAATGCCTGCTGAAAGCTTTACCTTGCTTTTCTAGTGGAATGTCTGTCTTCTCATGGAGTTCAGGGGTGTCTAAATATGTATTATAGATCCTTATCCTCCGGGAAGCGTCAGTCCCCTGATATTCCGGCCTACACGGGGGCTTTTATTTTTACCCCTGTGCCCAGAGAATGGTGACGGCAGGAGTCTCAGTTATATCCAGGACTGACTACTAAAGCTGGGGTGATCACAGCATGGCTAAAGGGGTGCCGGGAGACTCTGATAGCATCTTCCGATACACCCACTTTGTCTGCCCCATCATTTAAGACTCCTCACGGGCTCTAGTCAGCTAGAAAGCTTTCCCAGCCTACCCAGCCCACCCTTCCCCCCTAGACCATTAGTTCTTAGGTATTGTCATAGGCCCCAGGTCCTAATAGTGTGTCACAGTCTTACACCTGTTGATTTTCCGTCTCCTTCACTCGAGTGTGAGACCCTCAAGGCAGGTACCAAGTCTCCAGCACCTCTCATTGCCAGGTGGTGCCCAGGGTGGAGCCTGTCACACAGCCTTCATTACAACGTGAATTAACACGTGTTGATTCCCTCGCTGGCACCTCAGGCACTGTCCTGGGAGGTGCACGTAACGTCACTTGGTTCTAGCAAGCACCCTTGGGACTGGGGATGGCTCAGTGGCTAGACTGCTTCCTGCTCTTTCAGAGTTTGGTTCCTAGAACCCCCACGTCCCCCACATCCGGTGACTCCCAACCAATTCCAGAGGATCTGATGTCTTCTTCTGGCCTCCACATGCACCCACACGTGTGTAGCATACACTCACACAGACATAGACATATAAATAAAAATCAGGGGAAACTCGTTCAAAAGAACAATAATCCTAGGAACTAGTCCATCACTCAGGTTGACAGAGACAAAGCTGAAATAGGCCCAGGCTAGCGGGGAGCATACTGGCTCCACTAAGAGGCAATCTAGAGTGTGCCTTCAGGCCTGGCTGAGCTCCCAGAGTTTCTTCCCTCTCCCGCTTTCAGCCTCGTATCACTTTGCAAGCAAGATCTCTGGACCAGAGGAAGCAGGCTATCAGCCATAGCTGCATCTCAGTTTACCAACCACAGTGCCAAATACATTCCCGGGAGTCAGCTGAAAGAGGAGGCCTCTGATTGGCTTATGCCGCCAGGACTTCCTGACAATGATTGGCAGCCCACCAGGGGCTCTCCCCTAGAAGAACCAAAACAAAAGCAGTGGAAAAGTCTCCCTGAGCAGAACTGTGGCCTGGTGGACCCCATTTCACCACGGGGACACCACTGTTATCCTAACTGCCAGTGAAGCAAGAAGGGCACAGGGCTCACTTGCCTAGGACCCAGCAGCTGTACACCAGAAACAGAATTACGTGTTCTCTGGCCAGCCCACTACGTCAGCTTCTCTGAAGTTCTGGGGTAGTTGAGAGCCCATTGGCAAACAAATCAGTGTAGTGCTTGCCTTTAATTCTAGAGACAAAGGTGGGTGGAGCTCTGTGAGTTCAAGGACAGCCTAGTCTACAAAGCTAGTTCCAGGGTAGCCAGGGCTGTCTTGAAAATCAAAAAGAAAGAAAGAAAAAGAAAAGACCGACCAAAGGCAACCTGGGGAGGAAAGTTCGTACAAGCCACGCCCACCCCTCCCCCATCCGTCTTCCTCTCGGAGCTTCACTTCTGCCTCCCTCCCCACTTCTCCACCCCCCTTTTCTCTCACTCTGTCCTCTTCTCTCTTCCCTCTCTCTTCTCTTCTCCCCCCTTCTCCCCCTTTCCTTCCCATTCCATAACTCAACTAATAAATATCCAATTCTATTCTGTACGACGTGTCTATCCATGTCCCTGTCTCCAGCCCACCATGTGTCTCCCCTGCCTGGGACCAGCCACCGCTTGGGGACTGGCAGCCATCTCTGCCTGGGACTGGCTGCTCCCAGGGCCCACTACCTGCCACCACATGGCCTGCTACCACCATTTGGGGACCTACAGCACTTCTGCTGCCTACTGCCACCAGGGATCTTGCAGCATTTTTTAAAAAAGTCGTAACAGAAAGGGTTGATTTGACTGACATTTCTGTGTCACAGTTCATCTTTGAGGAAAGTCAGGGCAAGAACTGAAGCAGAAGCTTAAAGCAGAAACCAGGAATGAATGGTCCTCGCTGGCTTGCAGCTCAGACCACAGATCCAGGGAATGGTGCTGCCCATAGTGAGCTGTATCAGTTAACAATCAAGGCACACCCTATAGCTATATCAATTAGCAACCAAGGCACACCCTATAGCTATATCAATTAGCAACCAAGGCACACCCCACAGCTATATCAATTAGCAACCAAGGCACACCCTATAGCTATATCAATTAGCAACCAAGGCACACCCCCATAGCTATATCAAATAGCAATCAAGGCACACCCCTACAGATGTCCCCATGGGCCAATTTGATGGGGGGGGGTAATCCCTTAGTTGAGATTCCCTTCTTAGGTGATTCTAGATTGTATCAAGTTGACAGCCAAAACTAACAGAGGCAATCGGGTTCTGTGACAATCAGCAAACATCACATGACAGAGGACAGATGATAAACCCCCAAGCCTCTGTCCATGGCCCATGACCCACAGAAAGCATGATCACGTCTTCCCACTCTTCTAATAATGTCTGCTATGTGTCTCTCTCACACAGAGACACACGCACGTGCACACACACCACACACATGCACACAGACACACACACCAAAGAAAGAGAGAAGGAAGGAAAGAAAAAAGACTCTTCTTTCTCAGATACTCCTATTCTTTCAGATGGACAGCTGCCTTTTAATTTTGTATAAAGTAGAAATAAGAGCATGTTTAGAAAATTCTGTTAGTATTATTGATCTATAATTTATCTCTAATCAAGTTGCCAAGTCCTAAGAGCCATTCAACAGCCACAAATCCCTCTACAAGGACTCACCGAGTCATGGCTGGTTCCCAGTCTCTACACAGCTGAGTTTACCATGGGTATAGTCCCCATCTTTGCCCAAGTGCAGGTTCAGAGCTTTGAAGGAGTCAAAGGCTATAACTACTCTGGAAGTCATCTGGGTCCTAGTGCCCTGGGATACAGAAGGGTGGGCCTGGGAGGTCCAGGCTTGTCAGCAGTAGCAAGGGACACAGTTCAGTATGGGCAGCCATACTGGGGCATTCTTCTCAGAAGCAGCTGGATTTGATCTATGCCAGGACAAGTCAGCATGCAACAAGTGTGATTTTGTTTTTAAAAGGTGTTTTGATTTTCAATACAGGATTTCTCTGTGTAGCCCTGGCTGTTCTAGAACTCTGGCTCCCGGGTGCTAGAGTTGAAGGCATGTGCCGCCACCAACAGGCTACAAACCTTCTAAGATAAAAATGTGGGTCAAAAGGGGCTCTTTATTGTGTTTATTTTATTTTATTTATTTATTTGAGACAGAGTTTCCCTATGTAGCCCTTCTAACCTGGAACTCACTCTGTAGTTCAGGCTGGCCTCCAACTCACAGAGATCCGCCCACCACACCTGGACCCTGGAGGAATTCTTACTATGCACAGGCCACAAGGAAGTTAAGGCTTTCATTTTGACTGTAAACAAGGTTCAAACTTTTGCTTGTGAAGTTATTGGAAAAAGAAGTACAGAAGATACACAATTAATTCAAAGTTGGCCTGTTCTGACTTGATCAAGTTTCATTTCTCAACACTTTGGTTTGAGATAGCTCTTTGAGAGAGAGAGAGAGAGAGAGAGAGAGAGAGAGAGAGAGAGAGAGAGTAAATTTGATCTTTATGTTAGCAACCTTCTCGGAGGCTTTGTTGTTATTGGGTCAAAATTCTTGATTCTTGCTAGGCAGGTGCAGAGGCAACTGCCTTTGATGTCAGCACTTGGGAGGACAGGCAGAGCTTGTCAGAGACTAACCTGGCTTACCTTGCTCTGGCTGCTCTTGCAGAGAGCCCAGGTTTAATTCTCAGTGTCCACACAGTGGTTCACAGCCACCTGGAACTCCTGTTCCCGGGGCTCTGATGCCCTCTTCTGACAGCCACAGGGACTAGGCAGACAGAGAGAAGATAGATACTATTTTAAAACTTCTTTACTCTCAGTCCTCAGGAGATGGGCTCCTTTCCGTCCCACACGTTCCCTTCATTCTCTCTCTCTCTCTCTCTCTCTCTCTCTCTCTCTCTCTCTCTCTCTCTCTCGCCTACATGAGCAGATGTATGAGCTTGTGGCATGAGACTACGGGTGCATGCTTACCACAGCGAGCACGTGGAGGGTCCGCGGGCAGCTTTGGAACATCGGTTCTCTCCTCCACCTTTGCTGGGGCTCTAACTCAGGTTGTCAGGCTTGTAAGGCAAGCACACCACCAGCTGAGCCATCTGGCCTGATCCTTTCCTCTCTAATCTCAGGGTGGGGTGCATAGACAAGACTACTCATTGAATTCTCTGCCGGGCCTGTCGGGCCAAGGACGCCATCACCCTTTCCCAGCTGGGATTAAATTTGCCCCCTAAACGTCTACCAATAGGATCCACTGACCTGCCTTCATACTGGAAGTCCCCAGCCAAGGAGAATGTGAAACTGGATGGTTAGACACCGGGTGCCAGGCTGGAGGGGTGAGAGCCTCTTGAGATCTGGATATGGTGGACGGAGGGGAGGGGAACCTAATGGAGGGAGATGTGGATAGGAATGGAGACAAACCTTGCCTGCCAGGCTTTGGCACTGCAGGTGTGGCCTCATCTGTGTATGGCTGAGAGCTAATGCCCCTGGATGCAGAGCTGCTGTCTGTGGGCAGGGGGAAGATGCTGTCCCCTTCTCCCCTTCATCTCCCCTGGCTTCTTTTCTCCCCATCCTAAGCACCACGCAAACCCCTACACAGAGACATTTTGCTGATTCACTCCTGTAAGGCTGGCCATCTGGGGACAATTGGACGGGTCTGGCTGCACTGCCTGGAATTCGGCCCATTCTATATGATCTCAGCCAAGTCACTTGGAGACAATAACCAGATTTGTTCAAAGTGTGCACGTGTGCCATTTCTAGATCCTTCCATCGGGCTCCCTGTACGGCATTATCATCTCAGGTGTACTACCACTGACGCGAGATGTCGACTGTGTACCCATTTTGTAGATAAAGGAAACCGAGGCAGTGCAGCTCTCCCCAGGTCATGGAGACAGCTAACAGAGACCTGGAGTCCAAGCCGGAGCCCACTTTAATCCAAAATTCCCGTGCATTTTGCTATCCCTACTGTAGACAGAGGAAACTGCCAACGTTCATCAAGGAACCAGCTAACATTTATATGAGGGGGAAAAAAGGAACAAATAGGGTATAAATCCATTTCCTGTACCACCAACCCATTTACATGAAGAGGAAGGAAGGAAGGAAGGAAGGAAGGAAGGAAGGAAGGAAGGAAGGAAGGAAGGAAATGGCCTACTTCCCTCTAGCTGACATGCTTTTAAATGCTGGGTTAGGACAGGGAGGAAATAAAGGCAAACCATTGAAAATAGAGACTTAGTTTCTCAGGCTTTGCGGACCTTCTGACTTGGCACACTGCCTTGGTTGCCCTTCACTCAGTTAAAAAATAAAAATAAAGAATAAATTAAAAAAAATAAAATCATTAGCTATTCCAAGGGCTCTGGACCCTTTGAGCTTTGACCTCAGGTCACAGAGCCACCCAGAATCCTCCTCCCTTAGACCGTGTGTCTACAGCCATCCACTAAAGAGTCACCAGCCCAGTGACCCACTCACGATCTGTGTTGACTGTGAGAGAAGTCCTTAAGGAGACTGACTCACTCGTGGGCACCACACATCGGTCCACCCTGGGACTCCCCAGCTCAGTCACAAACGCCATATCCTGCCATATCCTCGGGGCTCCAGCCCTAGAAGCCTCCGCTGCCAAGTCCTGGCCAGCACCCAGCTTGGGAGCCTCCAGGTCTCTGGTCTCGCGCAGGGACACACCCCGGGGGAGGAGTCACCTCTCCTGGCCAGTGCAGGCAGACAGCCAGCATCGGTTTCCTCTCTTCACTGCAGCCGGCTCACCCACTCCGGACCGACATGGCCCAGGAACGCCCCTCCTGTGCCGTGGAGCCCGAGCACGTCCAGCGACTGGTGCTGTCCTCTCATGAGGCCAAGAAGTCAGCCTATTGCCCTTACAGCCGCTTCCCTGTTGGGGCTGCCCTGCTCACCGGGGACGGGAGGATCTTCTCCGGTAAGGACTGACGCCGTGGTCCCCTCCCTGGCAACCTGGATAGGGCCTAGGTCCACGTGGAGGGGAGAGCAACGCTGTTCCTTCCTCACTGGGCCTCTCCGGCCTCCTGCCCAGGTTGAGGGGCAACTCAACTGTTGTTCTACACAGTGGTTCTCTGTTCTTAGAAGTCTGGGGTGGCGAAGGGAGTTCTCAGGTGAGGCTAGAGGGAGTGGCCAAAATCAGGACCACCCGCAGGGCAGGAGCCGATTAAGGCTTCCGGAATGTCCTGTAAGCCTGACGTTCACCTGCTCACCTGTAAGTTCTTCCTCTGGCCTCCTGACCTAGGGTAGACCCATTTTCAGATGAAGAAGCTGAGGCAGAGACAGGTCCTGAGTCACAGGAGGCTCTGGTGATGGCACTGAGAGCTGGAGCCCCCCCAAAGCCTCACCTTCTTCCTGCATACTGGGGTGCTGAGACTAGCTGGTGAGGGATCTGGCAGACAGGGACTTGGAGGAGAGGATCCAGGCATGGTTTGGGTGTCCAACTGTCTGCACTGAGTTTAACGTGGAAGAGCTAGTGTTCTTTAGCTTCTGGTTTTGTAGACACCTAGGCCAGAGTGGGCTGCAGCTGGCGGTGGGGTGCTTGCCCATAGGCACAAGGGTCTGAATGAAGGGAGAGAAGGCGAGAGGAAGGGAGGGAAGGGTCTTGGTAAACTTGTGAACACTCTAGTTGGGATATGTCATGACAGGAGGTGACTACAGTGCCCCTTTGTTGTGTGTCTTGTTGACTGAGGTTCTGTGGTTTCCTGAATCACCCGGCTGTTGTGGGACACTTTCCTGGGAAGACGCAACCCATCTATTCACCCCAGATAGGGAGCTGGCGACAGACCAGCACAGACGCCTCCAAAGTCCAACTTGGTGAACCAATGAGTTTTACTGGGACTACTTAGAGAAGTACGGGTGAGGGGTCACTACAGGAGCAGAAATGACTCAAGAGCTGCATCGCCAAGGCCCACCCCAGCCTGGCTGACAGCTCACAAAGCTGGGAACCTGGAGCACACCGCAAAGCCTGCAGGCCGCTCCACAGTTTGGAGTGTCCTTTTCATGTGGCTTACTGGTTCTAAACATCTTCCAGGCAGCTGGTCTGGTCTCACTCTTTTTTGCAACTCAACTTCCTTCATCTGAGAGAGCATCTCAGTTTTCACTGTTTACTCTGGCAGGGAGGGGCTTAGTTAATCTGGTCAGTTTCAGGGACTTCCTGAAGTTATTGTGAGTTCATTTCCTGATGGGATTAATGGGGTATGTGAGTATATGGCCCCAGGAATGTGGGAACAGGAAGAAGAGGAAAGAGACCTGGGGTGATCTGCCAGTCAGTAAAGTACTGATCTCCAGAACCCACACAAAAGGCCAGGCTTGGTGGCACTCACTTGTAATGCCGGGGCTGGGCAGATGGAGATAGATGGGTTTGGGGGCTCTCTAGCCAGATAGCCTAACCTAATTGGCAAGCGCCAGGCTAGTCAGAGACTATCTCAAAGAACAAGGTGGATGGGGTCTGAGGAATGATAACGGAAGTTGACCCAGTCTGGCCTTTATACACATGTACCTGGACATACATAGAGAGAGGGAGAGAGAGAGAGGCGGTGTGGGGGGAGGCGGCGCTGGTGTTTTCTGAGAGATATAGGATGGAATGAAAGTGAAGGCTTTGGCCATGGATTTTTCAGCCGGGTGGAACAGGGGAATAATAAGATAAAAAAAAAAAAAAAAAAAGACAGAGCTGGGTTCTGCTGGGGACTAGGTAGGCAGGGACCGAGAGCAAAGTTAGCAACTACAATACAATAAGGAGTGCTCTGTGAACCCCATGGGAGGGCTCTTGGTGCAGGAGGGGGGCAGCAGAGTGTCCTGTGCATTAGTCAGTGACAAGCCTGCCGGGTAGCGCCAGTTTCAGGGCAGGCTGACTCGGGAGCTCAGTGCCATGCTGTTCTTTGTTTTTCAAGACAGGGTTTCTCTGTAGCCCTGGCTGTCCTGGAACTCACTCTATGGACCAGGCTGGCCTTGAACTCACAGAGATCTGCCTCCTCTGCCTCCCAAGTGCTGTGATTAAAGGCGTGCACCACCAACGCCTGGTTACCACACGTCTTTCTTATGATGGATGCTTGTTTTCTGTTACCTGGCAGGTGGGTCTTCTCTATCCATTAGGGGACAAGAACACGGGCAGCCTCTCATTCCCACGGCCACTGCACCCCACTTTAGATCTCATCCCACACTCAAGCTCTTTGGGCGGATTCTTGCTGCTGGGTGGACACGCAGAAACGTTACCACTGAACTGAGCGAGGGTCCTTTTGTCTACAGGGAAGGAAACCACAAGGAGACTAGGATACTCTTTTAGTTTGATAGTGCTGGCCCTCTAGTGCTCAAAGCTTGTGGTGTGGACAGACTGACGCAGGACAGACAGACGCGAGGGCTTAGCACTCCAAGTCTGGAAAACTAAGGTTTGTGGTTCCCCCAGCCTAGAACTCAGAGACTGTAGAGTTTCAGGTGCTCACACGGGAGGTACATGGCTTTGATTGCCAGTAGCCTGGCTGGTACTCAGTGAGTTCCACTGTGGCACCCATGGCCTTTAAGACTTGTCCACTACCTAGAGCTCTGAAGCCCGAGGCAGCCATTACCTCATCCCTGGCTTTTCACAAGTTTCTGCTTTTCCCACACTTTTCCTCCTTGTCTGTGTCCCCTGACTACTCTCTGAAACCCTCTAGCCACCTTTTTGTCCCTAGTGTCACTGCCACCACCGTTTTTTGCTGTCTCCTCTTTGCGCTCCCAGCTCATCTTGCTCTACCCATGAAAGCAAGAGTCTTTACCAGCCATAAAGACTGCAAGTGGGGGGGGGGGGAAGCCCCTTCACCCGAGCCTTTTTTTTTTTATTATGTATACAATATTCTGCCTCCATGTATGCCCACATGCCAGAGGAGGACGCCAGATCTCATTATAGATGGTTATAAGCCACCATGTGGTTGCTGGGAATTGAACTCAGGACCTCTGGAAGAGCAGACAGTGCTCTGTGCTCTAAACCACTGAGCCATCTCTCCAGCCCTCACCCGAGCCTTTTATGGCCAGAGCCAGGAGGCCAGAGGAGGTGGGTATTTCATAGGTGTGACATGCAAATTGAAATGTGCCCGCCCGCCTCTGAACAATCACAAGCCTTCTTAAGTCATCAAGGGAGTGTCCCTCTTTTGGACTTGGTGCACGCGAGAGCCTCTGCGGGGTCCAGAGCAGCCATTGGAGTAGCTGTAGGTGGGGGTCAGGGGGCAGGTGTGTCTAACCTTTTGACATAACAAATGGATGTTGTCATTCACATAACAAAACACACAAATCAATCTCTCTCTCTCCCTGTTTCTGTCCTTGGTTTCATTGTGCAGCCACAATGTGTCCTGGAACTCACTCTGTAGACCAGGCTGGCCTTGAACTCACAGAGATCCGCCCACCTCTGTCTCCCCGAGTGCTGGCATTACAGGTGTACGCCATCACCACCTGGCAAAAAGAAGTGATTTTTAAAGATTTGTTTTTAACTGTGTGTGTGTGTCTGTCTGTCTGTCTGTCTATCAGTGTCTTTTGTGTGTCTACCAGTCTGTGTGTGGGTATGGGCACATGAACACAAGTGTCCAAAGAGGCCAGAAGGCATCAGCTCCCCTAGACCTGGAGTTATAAGAGGCTGGGAACTGTCAACTCTTGTTCTCTGCAAGGGTGGTGTGTACATTGAGCCCCTGACCCATCACTTCAGCCAAAAAAAAAAAAAATCTCATAAAGTTTTAAAAGGCTACAATTTTGTGTTGGGCCCCCGTCTTAGCTATCCTTAGCTGCATGCAAGGATGGGCTGCAGGTCGGATATGTTTGAAAGTTCACGGAGGAGTGTCTCAGCTGGAATAAAAGTTTGTAGCTGTGGGACATGACCTGGAGCAGGAACCAATCCTCCGCTGGGAGTAGCTAGGAGAGGCTTTGCAGCTGGGGTGCCCTTTTCTCTGAAGGGTTCCTGCTCAAGACTGCCCGGAAGGAGGGAAGGTTTGCTGGTGGTAAGCCTTCCTGATAGCACCACTCTTTACAGAAGAGCATCACAGCAGGCTCCCAGAAAGGACTTAATCTCAGGACAAAACTAGCAATCTCAACAGTGCTTTAAAAAAGTGTGTGTGTGCGAACACACACGTGTGTGAACTAGGCATAGTGGTGCACACCTTTAATCCCAGCACTCAGGCAGAGACCACTGATCTCTGTGGGTTCAAGGTCAGTCTGAATCTACAGAGTGAGTTCCAGGACAGCCAGGGCTACTTAGTGAGAGAATCCTTTCTCAAAAAAACAGATTCTTTAGTGGGGGTATTGTGGTGCACGCCTTTAATCCCAGCACTAGCAAGTAAATGGCAGTCGGTTCTTGGAGTTCAAGGCCAGCCTGGTCTACGGAGTGAGTTCCAGGGTAGCCAGGGCTACACAGAAAACCCTGTCTTAGCCAGGCAGTGGTGGTGCACACCTTTAATCCCAGCACTCTGGAGGCAAAGGTAGGTGGATCTCTGTGAGTTTGAGGCCAGCCTGGTCTACAAGAGCGAGTTCCAGGACAGGCTCCAAAGCCACAGAGAAATCCTGTCTTGAAAGACAAAAAAAAAAAAAAAATCCTGTCTTGAAAAACAAAAATAAAACACCAGCAAGTGTGTGTGTGTGCTGTCTGAATGTTCAGGTGCATATGGAGGTCTGAGGCAGACAGCAGGGGTCTTTCTCCATTCTTGTCCTCCTTGCTCACTGGGGACAGGGTCTTGCACTTGAACCCAGAGCTCACCGAACCCAGATTCACCACATTCTAGTCTAGCTAGCCAGCTTGCTCTGGAGATCCCGTGTCTACCTTCTGAGTGAGGCTCTCCATTGCTGGGGATTCGAACTCTGGTCTCAGGCTTTGCTCTTATGCTGTCTTTAGGCACCAAACCGTCTTCCCAGACATTAAGAGTACTTAGCCTCTGCCCCAGTGACCTAAGCTCCTCTAACTGT